TTGTTCCGGGGGCTGGAGCTGTCCCCGGTGCTGGAGGAGCAGACCCGGGAGAGGGGACCGGGGAGGAAGGAGCCGGCACCAGGGGGACCGGGAGTCGGGGGTCAGAACAGAAAGTGGGGAGAGGAGGATGGCACAGAACAGCTGGGCGGGGGGTGGGGTGGAGGGAGGTGACACTGGGAGGGAAGCAGGGCACAGTCTGGGGGGACAGGGCAGAGGGACCCCGAGAGGAAAGGTGGACAGGGGGGCGGAGCAGGGCAGAGCGCAGGGGGAGATGAGCGCAGAGAGGAGGTGTATCTTCCAGAAGAGGAGCCGGGAAAGCTGTGTCTCGCTGGCATTTGCCGACGCCCCCTGCCCTCCCCCCGGGGGGCTGTGTGTGAGCGGGGCAGGGAGGGTGGGCAGGGAGGCGCCAGCTCTCACGTGTCAGCTCCTTGAAGACTGGCCCGTTTAATCCAGCCTCTGGCTGCTCACAGTGTCTTGTTCAGACACAGAGGTGCTTAACAGATACTCCTCAGATGAACACTGATGCCAGGAACCTCGGGCAAGAGCAGCTGTCGGTTCATTCAGAACCACACAGCCAAGCTCCCCTATGACATGGGGCAGAAACGCCATCGCCCCTCCCTCTTCTCCCTGCCCCCCCCCTCCGCCCCCAGGTTCCTCCAGTGGGACTGGAATTGAGTCAGGGAGTGAAGAGAGGTGGGGGAAGCAGATTTGGGGGCCCTTACTCCCCTAAACAACTATAGTATGGATGACCCGTTTGTTTCATGATCTCGAGGGAGCTTGCCCGCCCCCACCCCCCATGCACTGGGCCCACTCACAGCTCCCCCTCAATGCAGGGAGCACCTGCTGACACCCAGACTCCTGGCCGAGCAGCTCTGGTCTGCCAGTGCTCACCACAGGGCTCAGTCGCTTTTGTAGAACACCCTGCCTCCTGTCATCCCCTTCTTCACCCTGAGTGGAGCAATGCCTTCACAGGGGTGCTGGTGTGTCTGAAAAATGTTCCAGCGGACTCCCAGCAGCCCCCTGCTCAGCTGTCACCATGAGCAGGCTTCCCTCAGGAAGGGAAGTAAGAGTAACAGCACTTGGATGGGACCTACTGTGTCCCAGGCATGGTTCCAAGTGCTGTGTATTTACTAACTTGTTTAACCTCAGCACCACCCCATGGCGGAGGTTCAATTATTAGCTCACGCAGCTGGGAAGAGATCTGGCCGAGAGCGGAGCAGGCAGCCCAGCGCCCGAGGCCACGCCTTTAACTCCGGTGGGGCCCCGGCCAGGTGGCGCCTTTGGTTTGTTTGGAGTGTCTTTCTGTGCACCGGAAGGTTGCAGGTTTGGTTCCTGGTCAAAGGCAATGGGTTGATGTTTCTCTCTCCCGCTCCTCTCTCTCTAAAATGAATAACAACGGATCCTCCGGTGAGGATTAAAATGTAAAAAGCTCCTAGTGGGAATGGGGGAGTGGTCAAGCCTGGCCTTTCTTCTTCCTGTGTCTTCATTTGAGCCCTGAGTGGGAGATGTCCTTCTTCCTACTGCTTGAGTCACGGGGACTACGTTCCATCCTTCCTATGTGGGTGTCTGTGGTCTGAAGCCATATTCGGCAGGTTCATGTGTGTGTGTGTGTGTGTGTGTGTAGACATGATTACACTTCATCGCATGGGCACTGAGGTCCTCCCAGTAGGGTCTCCTAAGGTGGGTGTGGGGAGATGGAAGAGGACCCAGTGCTGTGTGGTCAGGCATGTGATGCCAGTGCCAGGGAACTGGGAGTGCAAACACATCTGGGAAGTAACTTTCCATTCACCTCCCTCGCCCCCAGTGCGCCTTTCCTTGCTTCTAATCTGATCTTGGTATTTATGGAGACGATAAACAGATCACGCCTGTGCGGACGGACTCCAGGAAGACCCACTGCCCCGCTGATCTCATTACCCCCTGTCTTGTCAGCAGATCTGCCGCCCTGCTGCTCATTTAGGCTTGGGGCTAATCACATTAATTGAAATATTAAACATTCGCAAAAATGAATTATAATGAACTCCCCTCACTCCTCTTCCCAGTCAGCAATCGGAGAGTCAGCTGCCCGCAGCATAATCCCTCTCTTAGTTTGTGGTCCCCAGATGGAAGGCTTTAGCCTTAGAGGAGAGGCAGGGTTTAGGGGAGAAGAGGTGGGACCTCTCACAGGCCCTCTTTGCTGGGTGACTGTGGGCACCTCTCTGTTTGCCTTCAAGCCCCCAGGGAGGGGAGCCCTGGGAGGTAAAGACTGGGGAGGCAGGGGTGGGGGGGGCAATGACTCAGAGGCTCATTCCAGGAGGAAATGAGGCTTCAAAGCCCCAGGTCCCCCAGGCACTTTCTCTGCCCACCGTCCCCAAGCCCTCCCTCCCCGCCTTCCTTGTTCCACTGCACTCAACGCTAAATTGCCCTACATAAAGAGATTATTCTTAATTGAATTTATTGGGGTGACATTGGTTCACAAAGAAGATTATTTACTTTATAAAGGGAGAACTCACCCCTGGGTTTAGACTTAGGAAGTGAGAAATGCTGAATAACTGGGCTATTTTTCAGAAAGGGCAAAATGTAGTAGTGCTATGTGTGGGCAGAGTGGCCAGTCACCAAATGCTTGCCGGCTTCACCAATTAAAAACAGAGCGAAGACATCTGCAGCAGAAAGTACAAAAAATTGATACTATAACCTTCCTTCCCTCGAGTGGTTCCTACCTCAAATGGAGTGTGCAGTAGGGAGGACTGAGATGCTGTTAAGAAAACAGAAGTAGGCTCTCTCATTTACACACATGGGTATTTGGGATTTGGGCCATGAGAAGTGCTCAGTCAAGAAAGGCTTGATTGGTTCTCAAAGCACAAGCAAACCATAGACCAGCAGAGGAGGAAATTAATTACTTTTGGTTTGGGGGTGAGGGATGAAGAGAAAAGTGCATGCGTATGCAGGTGTGTGTGGGTAGATGCGCCAGTCCAGACCAGCAAATCTATATAATTTCAAAATTTCTAGGAGCCAAGTTAAAAAAAAATAGAAAAAAACAAGCCTGCGGGGAGGGGAAGACAGAGGGACCCTGAGAGGAAATTAAATTTTTTATTAAAAAAAAAATATATTGTTGCCCTAACTGGTTTGGCTAAGTGGATAGAGCGTAGGCCTGGGGACTGAAGGGTCCCAGGTTCGAGTCCACTTAAGGGAACCGTGTGCCTTGGTTTTGGGCACATCCCCAGTAGGGGGTGTGCAGGAGGCAGCTGATTGATGTTTCTAGTTCTCTATCCCTCTCCCTTCCTCTCTGTAAAAAGTCAATAAAATATATTAAATATATATTTATATATATAGTTGAAAGTCCCCCAGAAATTACTTTTAATAATATTTTTATTTAATTAATGTATAGCCAAAATATTATTCAACATGTAATCAATATAAAGATTATTAATGAGATACATTACATTTTTTTTTACTAAGTCTTCACATCTAGTGTGTATTTTACACTCACACCACATCTGTCACTTACAGCAACATTTCACGTGCTCAGGGGGCACAGGTGGCTTGTGGTGACCACACTGAATGGTGCAGATCTAGAGGCTCCACCATTCACTACTCTGGCGGGTAGAGGGTGGAGAGAGTCAAGCCTTGGCCATCAGGAACCATCACCTCTGATTAATCTCTGCTCCTGCCTGAAAAAAAAATCACTTCCGACAGATGGCAGCTTATCTACCTCTCACTCTACTAACTCTCTCTCCAGAAAAACACAAACAACCAAAGGGATTACTAACTGGATGGAGTTCTTGGGAACAGGCCAGTAGCCACGACCTAATCTGCTTCTTTTGGGTTTTTCTGGGCTTGGGAACTGCCAACATTTTCACTTCTTCTTTTCAAATATGTTTTTACTGATTTTAGAGAAGAAGGGAGAGGGATAGAGAGAGAGGGAGATGTGGATGAAAGGCTGCCTCCTGCAGGCTCCCCACTGAGGAGGAGCCCCAAAGCCCAGGCCGGCGCCCTGACCTGCGATCAAACCACCGGCAACCTCTGGGTACATGGGATGCCGCTCAACCAACTGAGCCATGTCGGCCAGGGCAGCATTCTCACTGTTTTCCTCAGTTTGCCAAGAGGATAGAGGCAGACCACCGAGAGACCCCAAGGCCAAGGCCTAACGCAGGGCTTGCTTCTCGGGCTCTGCCCTTGCTCATTGGGCAGCTGTTCACGGACCCCCCTTTTGGGCTCTTCTCTGGCTCGCAGCTCCCTGGGGGCGTGGAAAAGCGCACCGACCGCCAGGCTCCTGCCCTTTCCAGGCTGCTATTGGCAGCTCTCCGGCTTTATGTTTCGCTTCCCTTCTTAATCAGATACTAGAAGAAGGCACCTGGAAGGCCGACTGCCTTTCCCCGCTTCCACTCAACTGGAAGAAATAATTTAGAATTTATGAGGATCAAATTAACCTACACAAGAAAGTGAGTCCAGGAGGGGAAGCTTCGGGCAGGATGTTCCCCCAGGTCCTTTCCAGCATCTTTAGTCTGAGACTGTTTCTTCCTTTGCAGGACGCAGCTCACCCCAACCCTGCGGTTGCTTCCGTGTTAAGAACCCAATAGTTCAATGTCGGGGGTGTGCGGGGCAGGGGGAGGGGGTCG